TCTGCAATACATTTTACAGGAAGCTTCTGGAAGGAATTCCACAGTAACGACACGCTACCTGACACTTCCAAGTCGCTTTTTCCTGCAGGCTTTAAAAGGGACTAGTCACTGCGTTGCTGCTTCGGCCGGGATTCCCTACATCCCAGGCTGGAATACTCTGGGGGCATTAATCCGTGAGTTTCTATGCCGTGATTCCGCGAGAGCGTCGAGAATAAATTGCCGTTAAACTGCAGCGATGATAACTGAGCCAGTGGAAGCAGCCTGTGGCCGTTTGCCTCGTGACGTGTCGTTTCATAATGAGGATTCCGCTTTTCACAGATGCCTTTCTTCAGCGCTGACCTTGCAGGGCATTCGTAACCAGAACAGGTAATGAAGCCGTCCCGCTGACAAATCCGTCAGGGCGTCTATGCAGGCTGGCCCCGGTGATCAGGTGTAACGATGTCCCAGCTATGAGACGACACCAGCTGCTCTGTGATGTGTTAGGGTGTCGCTTCATTCGTCTTTAGGGGGTATTTCCGCATCGGCCAAAGGCATCTGCTTTAGGTATAATATTGTTATTTATTTTTGATTTTCTTAATTGGGGGGGCAGGGCTGGACTGGGATTAAAATTCGGCCCTGGAATTTGGGCTCCCCCATTGGTGGGGGGGGGGGGAGGTTCCTCATTATAAATTTTGCCGGTCCACATACCCATACAGAATCGGCGAGGATGTGAAGTCCGGGAGGATGCAACTTAGACTGACGTGGCCACATTAACTGTGTCACCTAGTGACACACCTGGTAAAACACACAGTCACACGCCTGGTCACACACCTGGTCATGATCACATGCAGTCACAGTCACAGTGCCATCAGTTTGGTAAGCTGGGCTTTGGATTTAGGAATCAGACAAACACAAAGCCAGGCCTCAATTTCAGCCAATCAGGGAGCTGATAAGTGACTCACTAAGTTGCCATTAATAGTGACTGCTCCAGATGCAGTGGGGAGAAACATAGACAGAGGAAGGATGTCTGTTGAAGAAGCGTATTTAAAGTGAAATGCACAAGCCAGATTCCTGTGTCATCATGATAATAACACAAGTGACCTGAAATACATTTTGAGCTGAAATAACAAACTCTTGGCTGTTTTAACACACTCTGATGAGCTGTAATGAGATTTTGAGCCATTTATAACAAGCTCTGGTTTATTATAGCGCACTCTGAGCTGTAAAAAACACACTTTGATGAGTTGTAATTAGCTCTGGTTAGATATGATCAAAGGAAATTAATTAGCAATGATGCCATGTATTTACATGTTGCAATGAAAAGATGTTGCGTTAAGCATTTGACTGCAGGCTGTGTATGGCTGACAGGGGGCCCCCACACCAACCTGCTGAAGTCTGAGTAACAAACTGCCTTGTTGTGAGGAGGCCTTGGAACGTTCTATCATGCTGTCAGATCTGGTGGAGGTTTACACTGGAAGAAGCCCACAGACAAAGAAAGGGACTCACCATAGAGAAAGAGGGTCAGCAGGATCCAGAAAGGCCATCTGTTCAGCGGCGGACTGAATCTTGGACACGTGCCGCTTTGGACACTTTGTAAGACATGCATCTGTTTTGGGACGTTTGCGATTGGTCAAAATGTGCAGTGATGTGTAACATTAACCAAGCTGGCTAACTGGAAGCGAAACGTCGACCTACCCTAGCTTATTTACGATGGGTCCATGAGTTCACTTACGCTTTCGGGGGGGGGGGGGGGGCGGTTTACACAAGACGCTCTCGACGCTCGTCACTGTCTCAAGCTAATACAGCCAAGTCCAGTTCAATGTGGAGCTGAATTTTCCCGCGAGGACCTCTGGCTTAAAGACTCCCAGAGTTTCCATTAAGATAAACAGACCCCAAGTTCCCCATAAATCACCCTACTTGGAGGCTCTGTCCCATAAACGTGTCCACAATTTAAATCTCACTAAGCACCTTTTTCTTTTCTATTTTTTTTGGTTGAGATCTGTAAGATTCTGGGCAAATATCTGTAGTTTTATCAGCGAGTCCATCTTAGCCTGTGCTGAGGGGTGTGTGTTTGCCGATGCCATAAACTTTAAGAGCACGACTCTGGTGCTGATAGTTGCACTCGTTTCTCGTGAAGAATGCCGTCGGCCATCTTTTGTACTTAGTGTAATTTGCCGCTCCCCCTAAACAGACGCGTAATAGGCGTTAGCGCAAAGGGCTCATGTGACTGTCCTGGGAAAAGCTCTCTGAGCAGGCGAGCAGGCCCTGCTTGTTTGAGGGTATTCTCTGATTTCGCAGCTCAAGACAGGCTAAAGTGTTGTTTACACTAGATGTGCCTCCCTGGGGGCTCCTGACTTTTCACTGAGCTCGTTTACTCTCCCTGACCTTTACTATCTGGCCAGTGAAATTCTGACGCTGTCATTTCCCGAGGCTCCCGAGGTCTGCAGCAACACGCAGGCTCATGTTAGCCAGATTAGAAAGTTAAAGCTATTTCTGTCTGTTTCTGTACATGTCTCTCGAGTTCACACTCACCCTGACTGCCTCTTATGGCTTGTTAGTGTACGATACATTTCTGAGATCTGCATTTTGAACTTCGGGGGGAAATGCTGGCTGTGTGAAGCAATTATACGAAAAATTTCATGCCCGGTTTTTTTGGTAAGCAGCAATTATTTGTTTGACATCCAGGAGAATTTTTCATTTTCTCTTAGGAAGTAAATGTAATAATACAAAAAAAACTTAATTTTACTGAAAAAAATCCAGAATAATTTCTATGTTCATCGGGCTTACAGAGTAAATTAGCATCTAAATATCTCATGAATTTTTTACTCACCTTTAGTTTAGCTTTTTTGTTTTTATTTGATTTTATTTTATTTTATTTTAAAATGTTCTTAATTTTTCTGTATTTCTCATGTTTACCATTTTGCTTTCGGTGCTTTCCTGATTGTGAAGGAACCTGGAATCTGTGAGGCGTTTCTCAAAGCTGCAGTACCTTGTGTCTCCAGCAGAGACGCTGTCTGGTCCCCCGGGGGAGTGTGTGACAGGCTCTGCGTGATGCCATGAGGAGGTGGCCTGGGCCTGCGAGGTGCCTATGCCTCATAAATGCCAGTGGGAGTCACTCTGTTGTCTGAGTCATATGTTACCTCCTGGATTCCTTCCAGAGACAGGGGCCTTCTGATCCACTAGCAGAACATGACGAGTACCAATCGGTCACCGACACGCCGTCCTCAGCCATGAAGGTTCCCCAGCACCACTGCGGTACCCCCCAGAGGTCCGGGCGGCCTCTGCATTTTCTGTGGTGCTGATCCAGACCCAGGCTGGACCAGACCTATGTGTAAGGCACACCAGCAAATTATAGCATTTATTAAATCGCCATGGAATGTATTTTAAAAAGGGTTCAAAGGCATATTGGGCAATCCCAAAGGAGACGTTTATGTATAATAACAGTCGTAATCGTTCATAGTAATTTCATTCCACCATCTTCACAGTGGTAGTCAAAGACTTACCTCTACCCCCAAGTACACAAAGTTAATATAATTCTGTAATCTAATTCAAGAATTTATATATTATTAGAAGGACAAAGCTGGTTATCAAAACTGTATGACCTATGAGAGTCTGAGCCGCGCAGGACCATGTAGCTTGGCCACTGCAAAGACGTGCTCTGGTTGAAATGCTTAATAACAGAGCGCGTAGACCCAGCAGTAAATAAAGTCTGATGAGCCGGCTGCAGTTGGTTAAGTAGCATATCTCCCACTGGAAATGTCTTCTGGCATCTTCCTACAGGCTAAGGTCCGAAAGGGTCCGGGCCAGAACGCGAGGTGTTTGGGGAGACGGCTTTTATTCTCTCCACGTGTAGCCAGCAATGACTCTATGAAATAACTCTGCAGTAATAACTCTGTGGCCCGGGGGGGGTCTTGCTCTGGTCTTGCAGTTCCTCCGCCCACCTCAAAGGGGCAACACTCTTGCCAAAATGGCACAGCTGTAAGCTGGTATGTGAGGCTTCAGCCAGACGCATCCAGATCAGCCAGCGACGGGCTGTCAGGACACCAAAGGCTCCGGCCCGTGTCACTGTGGCACTTTGATGTGTTTAATAGCCACCTGGGTACCATCGCCAGGTCAACTTCATTTATCTCCCCGGCGGCTTGAAAGGAGACTCAAAGAGCGAGGGGACAGATCCCATTCTCTTCTGAGGCTTAGCTGGCTGGGAAGCACTTTCTAATTGCATAACTTTCATATCGGCTCACCAGCCCACAGGTTCTGCCCTAAATCCTTTTGACTCGGGCCTGATTTCATGTCAGCTGTAACTAACCCCCTGCTAACAGACCACGCTGACCGCCCTTGGTATGATGCTGTAGTTCCACTGAGGGCTAAATGCTGTGTTCAGGTGAGCAGGTCTTCAGAAGAAGGATGTCTGTCACTGAGGTACACAGGGAGACGGCTTGGGAATCAATAAGCGTATATACTGACCGAATCACACGTCTGTCTTCAAAGGCGTCAGCTGAATGTGCTCTACTCAGACGGGAATGACGCTCAGCTTATGAGGAAGGTGCTATTAACCTCTGTTCTATACTGTTAACTACCACTAGTGCTGTTTACTCTTGTACTGTGCTATAAATTACCACTAATGCTGGTTAGCCCTGTTCAGTACTGTTAATTACCAATAAGGCTGTTTACATCTGTTTAGTACTGTTACCGATTAGTAGTGCTGGTTAGCCCTGTTAACTATACTATTGTCATACATTTTTGTTGAGGATGCCTTAGAGTGAATCATTTTATATTTTGGAATAGCTGCTGAAACTTGTTGCCTTAAGTACCACTTTGCCAGCTATAATGTACCATGTCGGGTCCACCAGGTGCAGACTGCCGGTAACCATCCCTAACCGGTAAGCGTAGGTAGAGTAACTATCCCTAAGCAGTAAACGTCTCCAAGCAGCCCATGCAGGCCCACTCTACAGGTGCTGTAGAGTAACATTGTGTGTTATCCTGCTAGCTCTCTGCATGCTAACCCACTCTCTGTCCTTCAGATCTACGACCAGGAGGGCACGTTACAGCACTTTATTGACGGCAATGAGCCCAGCAAGTCCAGCTGGATGAGGTACATCCGCTGTGCGCGACACTGTGGAGAGCAGAACATGATGGTGGTCCAGTACAGGTACAGACTGCATGTGGACCGGAACCGGCGGCAACGCTAATGAATGCTAAGTAGGCGTGACTGTTTGGTTGACAGCATGAGATGTCGATGTCTTTTTTCCCAGAATAGCATACAAACGGAAGACTCACCTGGATGGTCACACAGATTAGCTTCCCTAAAACTCCCATCATGATCCATTGTGGGTGTTTGGAAAACCAAAGCGGAAAAGCGGGAGTCTTTCCCTTGGCGAGTTAGGAAGAAGAGGATGAAAATGGTGGCCTGTGCAGAGAGGAATGTGCTGCCTGATGCTAATCAAACCTACAGATGGATGTAAAGACAATCCATTATATCTAATCATCATATCTATATCATTATGAAGTCATCATACTTCTGCAAAAAGCAAATTCAGCACTTCACTTCCATGTCAAAACTTGCATGGAGAGCATCAGGGTGAAAGAAAGAGGACGAGTCCAAGGCTGTCTGGTGGCCAACAGACACACGCATGAGAACCGCAATGCAAGCATCGGAAAAGGAGGAACATGATACTAGTGTGACGACACAAGAACAGCAAAACGAACCAGGACTCCGGCTCACATCCTGCCATCCTGCAGTGATACCGTTAACATAGTCAAGAAAAACAAAATCACCACTGCTTATTTCATGTAATGAACAAGGACAATGCACAGAATTAACATATCAGCAGTTTATTTAATTAGCAATGATAATGCATGTAAATATATCAGCAGTGAAATCAATTTAATTAACAGGGAAAATGCACAGAACTCAACATATCAATAGTTAATTAACAAGGGTGATGCACAGAACACATCATATCAGCAGTTAATTAGCAAGGATAATACACAGAAATCTGCATATCAGCAGTACATTTAATTAACAGGGATCATGCACTGAAATCCTCATATCAGCAGTTAGTTTAATTAACATGGATAATTCACTGAAATCAGCATATCAGCAGTAAGTTTAATTAACAAGAATAATGCACACAAATCATTATATCAGCAGTTAATTGAATTAACAAGGATCATGCACAGAAATCTGAATATCAGCAGTTCTTTTAATTAATAGGGATCGTGCACAGAAATCAGCATATCAGCAGGAAATTTAATTAACAAGATCCTGCACAGAAATATCAGCAATTTCAACTGTTTGATTTGTGGAATTTTCCAAAAACCTAAAAAACATAAATATCCACACGCCCTCCAAGGCAGCTTAGTCTGTGCAGGATTCCAGAAAGGCAAGGAGAAGGACAAAAATGTAAAATGTCGTTATATGTTGTCTAAGTCTTTAATTTTTTTTTAGCTCGTGCATGACAGTGACGCTATTTGTAAAGGAAAAGAGTTTGGAAAAGTAGAGTGAGATTAAGGCAGATCCTGGGGAAGGACCAGCAGAGCCCCCCCCCCCCACATGGTTCAATCCTGGGGGTCAAAGGTGACCACCTCCAGCCTCCAGCTGGTTTGAGCTGCAAACGCTCCGCAATGCTGTTCCTGAATGGACTCCCCTTCAAAGCGGCCGTGATGGATTCACTCTGGGCTGCCTGTTTGGGTTTCGCTCAGACAATAATGTGCGCTGGCACGCCGCACCCGTTTCCCTGCTCGAGGACGCCCTGCTTGGGGACGCCCCATCGTCCGCTTTATGACTCATCCAACCACAACAATAAATAAGTGTTAGCTTGGGGAATATTACCCAAATGCAGAGAAATGCCTTTGATACGCAGGTTCTGGCCACGGCGGGTCGGCCCGCAAGCGACGGGCGCTCAGCTACACGTCCCCGAGCCTGTGCCCGGCCACCCATGGCTCCGTAAACACGGGTCTTTCAGCGGTCGGCCGGCGGCTGCCCCCCACCCGCGTTTATCTGTGGTGTTTATGTTCGGCCGGGCCGAGCCCAGACGGAGCGTCATGGGGCCCGGCGAGGACGTGCCGCTGCAGAGGCCCTGTTTTTCTCTGGGTCCCGGATCCGGGTGATTTATATATGTGTCATGGTGGAAAGAATCCATAAAATCCACAGAGCCGCTCTGCCGGGACCAAAGCGCAGTTTTTGTCAAATATTTGTCGAATTTTCTTTTTTATTATTGTTAGTGATATATTTAAAGAGGATGAATAAGGACTCCCATTATTCCGGGCCCGCTGCATTCTGGGAGTCACGCCGCGCTCGCCGTCTGTATCGATCGGTGTCGCCGCTGCCAGAGGCAGCCTTGTGGTGGCGGCACGGCCTTGGGGGCACATGCCTCACTGCCACGGCGACGCGCCGGGGCCTTCGACCGCTCACCGCTTCATTAAAAGGCGATTCTGGCAGAGAAGCCACATTTTTTACCCGTTGAACTTCGGCTCATTACCTGCTGTGGCGTTTTGCCCCCACCGCCGCCCCCCGCGAGAGAAAAATCTGACGTGATTCTGGGAGTGTAACGATGACACGAGGGGCCAGGGGAGGGGGGGGGGGCGCGGACATGCCATAGTAAACACAGCCTTCCCAGTTGGTGTTAACCATCATTTTCAAAGTCATAGCACCCGATCAATTATGATATTAATAAGAAATTCGGAGGAATACAGACATACTCATAACAGAAATGCTCACGGTTGCACACCATGACATTTCACACACATAATCTGTAAGGGTAACATATGTGTTTCGCTGTCATGTGTGCATGTGTGCACTGTGCTTCAGCGGTGCACTTTTTCGGCCTCCTCTGACCTGAACTCATTGACATGTACACGCATGCGTAGGTATGTAAATGTGCTGTCTATAGCGTGTCCTGCTTTTCAGGTGCTGAGGTGTGGCTGCTCTTTCTCCACAGGTTGTGTATATTCTACCGGGCCTGCATGGACATCCCCCGGGGCACGGAGCTCCTCGTCTGGTACAATGACAGCTACACGTCCTTCTTCGGGATCCCCCTGCAGTGCGTCGCACAGGATGAGAACCGTAAGCGCCTTCTACGCTACGCACGAGCATCCCGTCCACTTTGCCGTGCAATCGCCCCCGACGTTCCAAACTCACGGTCACTTGCGGCTCAGTAGCCCTGTCTGCCTGCCCCATCCCTCCTAAACCGTTGCATTCATGGTGTCATTGATGGTCACACCTTAGCGTCGTAGGACTTGGGACACAATAACCTTTGGGTTACATGCACGGGAGGTTTGTATTTCGCACGTCGAGTGCCTTTACCAGGGGTGTCTCTACCATGATCTGCTGTAGCATGAGTCATTGCGACACCCACCTTCACTTCTCTCTATGCGCTCTCTGCTCCGTGAGCTTCTTTGTGCTCCAAAACATGTGAAACTTCCCTAATGGGGCATTACGAACAGCTTGATCCTGTAGTCTAGACATTTTGATGTTATGAATTCTGACAGTTAACGTAATAACAGTCCTCCAGGAACGTAATAAACGATTCATTGACGGGCAATGGTGTCTCTGGCAGGGCTGTGGTTGTGTGTTAATTGCCGAGTTAGCACTCTGGAGAGAGACGTCTCATTCCCGCAGGTCACGATGGCGTCCTGTGGTGCGTGCAGCCTGCGGATGTGGTCGGAAGGACCACAAGTTCATCTAGATCAGGGGTGCCCAACTCCAGTCCTGGAGGGCCAGAGCTCTTTTTGGGTTTCCCCTCATTTAACACCCCTGATTCAACTCCTTGTGCTAATTACCACACAGCTCTGGAGCTGAATCATTTATGGTGGAACAGGGAAAGAACTAAGCTACACAGGGCTCCGGCCCTCCAGCACTGCAGTTGGGCACCCCGGCTCTAGATGGCGCCGCCCGTTGTGACCTTCACCTCACCTGATGGTGCAGTGCTTGGCGGGCAGTGGTGGTTTAATGGTTAAGGAAGCGTACTAAGCGTACTTACTAATTGAAAGACTGCTGGTTTAAATCCCCGACCAACAAGGCAACACTGAGGTACCCTGAGCAGGGTACTCCCCCCGCAAACACTGCCCTCCAGGCGCTGAATTAAGTGCCCCCTGCTATGTCACATATGGGTTAAACACAGAGGACACATTTTGTTGTTGTGTGCTGTGGCGTGTCAACACTGATCACGTAATTATAATTAAAAACCAAAAAAAACCAGTGTTTGTTATTCTGCAAGTTTTCAGTCAGCATTCACTTATTAAAAAGTTATACCTGGTTATTTTTGTGTTTGACCCTCATATTTTGGACTAGACTCTGTAGACTGAATGTGGGCCAGTCTCAGATCCAGGGAGATAGTTTGCTGGAGGAGGCTTTCCAGCGGTTCACCCTACTCTCCATGGGCCAAAATGAGAATTATTTATAACAATAGTACGGCTACAGATGCAGGCTTACTGAGATAGTATCAGACATAGAACACAGAACAGACACAATGGACATTACAGTAAGAACAATGTTTAAACGATAACACTTTAGGAAGAAATAATGTATCTCACCCTCTGAGAGGTTTCCCAGTGTCCATCTCAGCTGCTGTTCCTCAAAGTGTCTTCAGAATTTACAGCACTCTTTCTGTCAGGTACCGCTGTGATCTGGCCTCTTCTTTATCCTCTGGCAGAATCACCAGAAACGATCGATAGCAGAACCCTGGAGTAAAGTCCAACCCAAGTTTTTATACTGTAATTAAATAGAGTAAATCATCAGGGCTAACTGTTGTCAAGGAGTGTTTAATTTAGGCGAGATAAAGGGTTCTTTTTAAGGAGCATTGACAAATCTAATCAATATTCAAAGTTTCCCTGTGTGAGTTTACACAATTACACCAACGTGCTGAGATGTTGCTAGGGTAATTTGATTGGGAAGCAGAACTGTAAGAGAAACTTTGTCCTTATTGTTTAAAATTTCCTATTATATTGCTTGTGTTGTAACAATGAGGATCGAAGCCCGGCATAGAAATACAAAATAATAATACTGAAATATCACATGTGAAATATTACAAACAAAGTGAAATATTCAGTATCAGAAGAAAGGCACTGAAAGGATGCTGCTGTTTTCTGTCGTGACTCATCACAAGGTCTTAGATGTGGGCTTCCCTTCCTCCGCAGGTGTACATTGACTCTCGGAGGTATCACCCAGCATCCCATCCCAGTAGGACACCTGAAACAGCAATGCAGTCTATTTACTGCCTCATGGTGGTTATGTAACGTCCGAACTGCTACGTTTTTAACACAACCCCGTCGCCGAAAGCTTACAGGGACCGTTCTGTATGTACAGCAACAGTAAATGCACATCACAGATGTCGGGATGGTATCAGAGCTGTATCAGGTTAGAGGAGAAGATCACCACCAAACAGTCTCATCTCATCCATCTTCATTATGGGCTGTAGATGACGCTGTCTGGATTTTCTCTAACTTCAAGGGACGGAAGGAGTGATAGCCTGAAATGTTCTTGGAACAGTGAATAGAAACTTAAAAGCCCTCAAATAAGCGTAAGTGTTTTCAGTAGGTCTTTAGTTTTTATGTGTTCTTTGATAATGATGTACTGTAGTGTTTGCTTGGTTTTGCTGCCTGGGCTGTGACTCACATTCTATGTTATTCCCCAGAAGCACTGTGTCGTTGGGCTGTTTCACTTTCCAAAGCCTGCAGCATTTCTGGGAAAAGCTCTTTTACCATAAATTGTGCATATTGGAATGTTGTTTTTGAAAGTTAGATATGTGTAATCGGCGTACGGTTAGAGACAAGCTTCAATGCGAAGGTGAAGCCTTGGAGAGCGTAGGGTCGGTCATCAGCGTGCCGGTGGAAGAGCATCGGGGGAATGCATGACGCGGTTTCCACTGATGACGTGGATCATCTTTTGCAGATGAATCGCCCTCAGACTGAATTTCCTGGGAAAAAGTGTATTTCACTTTTCCAGTTTTCCTCTGCTCATCAGAAATAAAAATCATTGCATAACCAGTTGACATTGCGCGCCCCATGGCCTTGTTAGTGCAGTGTAAACAAGGTTGACTGTGTTTTGGAATTAAAGGCCTCAGGTCACCGCAGAGGCTTGGCTCAGACAGGCACCCTTCCGGGCTGCTTCCTCTACAGCTGCTGTAATTCTCAGACCTTGTGTACGCAAACACGTGCTGCCACAAGAAGAGACAGCACTGCCCTGTGAAACAGGATCCTGATGCTGTGCAACTCAGGGATATTTTTGGCTGGACAGCAGCTCTGCAGAATGAAATGTGTTTCATAATTAGATGCACGTGGGACATACCGCTGTGCTCCACTTGTTCTGGTATTGTTGGAGTTTTTTCCCCCCGAGCGGTTTTCATTAGCGACTCTTTATTTTACTGAACCCGAGTAAATTTACAAGATGACTGACTTGATTTCACATTTTGTTTACCTTCCACAGTGCCTGCAAATTTGTAGGGATGATTTAATTATTTGCACAAGGTCCGGTTACACCCGTTCCGTTGTGTTTCCTGCCATGATTGACGTTATCCTCACTTTCAGTGCATCTATGACATCCGTTAATCTAGCGTTATGGGAAGGAATGGAGAGTGCAGGACCACCCATGTGTGGCTTTGAATGCAAACCATGCATCCTTACTCTCCTGCTTAAAGGAATCTTGCCCATAGTAGAGATGGATTCTGGGAAATATTTGTTTTATTAGAAGTCTGTAACCTTTGATTGGGTAGAAAGGTTTAAAGTTGTAATGGTATCGGCTGAAGGTTTGTCTCCAAATAGGACACAGCAGAGGGTGTGAGCCTTCGTTAGCACAGTGTATGGGTGCACTTAGAGTGGACCTCTGAGTAGATAAAGTGTCAGAACGATTTGCTGGATCATCTGGGGCTGAAAGCCTTAACTGAGCACCCAACCAACTTCCATTGCTCATTGCTCACTGTAAATCTGGTGTATACGGTTACGCTTAAAGCGTGTGTGTGTGTGTGTGTGTGTGTGTGTGTATATATATATATATATATATATATATATTAGTGCTGTCAAACGATTAAAATTTTTAATCAGATTAATGACAGAGTTGCTGTGGATCAATTTCGATTAATCACGATTAAATATCATTCATTTTTAATCTATATTAACTGCATTTCATTTTGCATGAGCAAACAGACTGAAGAAAAAAGTGAATATATATGCACTTAACATGTTTATTGAACATCTTGAACACGAGTCGGATGCATTCCATCTGCCACAGAAGTGCAATACCCATATCAAAAAGCAAGATTTTTTGCTTAGCCGGACAACTTGTTGGATTTAAGGTACAGTGTGTATAGTGTGTGCGACCGATTTAATGAGCCACAAATGAGAAGCAGTACTTAAACAGTATAAAACTACAACTTTCCCTTCTGTTGATAAAAGGCACAGCCATCTTAGATTCTGAACTCAGGATCCTCTGTGCTGCTCCGAGATATTTCTTGGATCTCCGAGAAACAGGAGCACGCATGTCGTCACTTCCGGCTTCAAAACTCGGAATACGAGTTCCTAGGGCAAATGGAACGCACCAAAATGGCCCGAAATGGGTTGACAGAGACATTTCAGGGATTTTGAGTCATTCTGCGCTGCGGATGGGTTAATTGCGTTAAAAATTTTAATCAGATTAATCATGATGATGGATTAATCCGCATTAACCCATTAATTTTGACAGCCCTAATATATATATATATATATATACACACACACACACACACAGAGTTAAACCTCGGATTGCGAGCATTATTCATTCCGGAAACATGCTCGTAATCCAAAGAACTCGTATATCAAAGCAAATTTTCCCATTAGAAATAATGGAAACTCAGATGATCTTTCCACAATCCAAACATATTCATATAAAAATGATTAATACAAAATATTAAGTAAAAATACATAAAACAAATTAACCTGCCCTTTACTTTTGAAAAGAATCGTGGATGGTGTGAGGGAGACGAGAGAGGAGAAGAGGAGGAGGGTTATTTTGTAGGACGACTTTCACTATAACTAACGGAATCACTGCTATCTGTTGGCTCACTGGCATCTTTTTCTTTTTTGTGCGACTTTAACAAGGAACTTATCCAATGGCAGCTGCTTTTGCCTCCTTTTCAATTTGTGTGGACATTGCATTGTTGTTAAACAGATTCGTCGCTTGCACTGCTACACCCTTATTCGAGTGGTGCTTTTCTACTAAATTTTGACTATACGAGTGAGGCACGCTAACTGAGAACAAGCTTCGGAAACGATTACCCACAATCCTGCAGTGAGAGAGAAGAACCATCGGCTCAGTTGAGATTATGTGACGCTAGGCAAACAAAGCGTATACGTAATACTCGTATTGCAAGACCTCGCTCGTTTATCAAGTAAAAATTTATTAAAAGTTTTTGCTTGCCTTCCAAAACACTCGCAAACCAAGTTACTCGCAATCCAAGGTTTGACATATATATATATATATATATATATATATATATATATATACTGTATGGTGGTATATGTGCTATGAACCACACTCCTGTTCAGAAAATCCCCTCTACTGTACACAATAAGCTGTTACAAACAAAGACTAAGCTTCTTTTGTTTACAGATGAATTGTTGCTTTGCTTTGACTGCTGTAGTAAATGACCAATGAATCGAGGCAGGAAGGCTAACATATGTTCATTAAAAGCCCACCGAAAGCAGTTGTTTTCCATGTCCAGCTGTTCGGGTGTAAATAGACAGCAATTTAAATATTATGCTCTGAGATTCAGTAGCCAGCATAGTCTGAAGTTCATCTGGGTTCTGACACAGCCTGTGGTGATGCCCCTGTGACTGAGGACAGCTGGTCCCAGCTGGATCATTTCTATACCTTTCTTTGCGTGGGGGGTGAACTGTCTTAGTTCAAGAGGGATTTTTGAACTGTGGATGTCTGGATTTTTGATAAACAACTGTAAACAAAGAAACAACTCCAAAAATGTCAAACGCTGCAAAATTCTGTAAACACCGTTGATATTTTTCTGCATTTCATAACAGACCGCAAACAGATTTGTGCTTATGGTTTGCTTAGCAAAATACATGACAGAAATCCGAGGAGTGAAGTGCACATGTCGATATTACCCAGCAGCACCTTACAAATGACGTAATTATCCAGCCCACGCCCATACTGGGGCCAGATCAATTTAGCAGGTGTGCCCTCTGAAGGAGACAAATGATGTTCATTGGTGATTAGATTAATCTGTTTATTGGTGTGCATCCTGTAAAAGTGCATTAAAAACACACACTTTACAAAATAATGAGCCATGGAGAGTGAGCAGCGTGATTGAGCCATCTTTGATCTTTCATAGATTTTAAGAATCCTAGTTAATGTCAGACTATCTAGTGTTTGTTTAATCAGCTGCAGTTGTGCTCCTTTAAGCTCTGTAAGTGACTGCGTACTTAACACGCCCGTCACCGGGTGCGTTAATAACGGCTGCCTCTGTTTTCTCACCCGCCAGTGAACGTACCGGCCACTGTGGTGGAGGCCTTGGCTAAGCAGGACAGCCTGCAGGCCTTCGGGAAAGGGAGCAAGCCGCCCGGGCTGCCGGCGGTGGCAGCACTCCGCTCCATGGTCTTCCCCCACTCGCCCTGCGCTCGCAGCTTCGCCCTGCTCGAGAAGCCGGGCTCTGCCGACTCCGGGTTCGGCCCCCTGGGCAGCAACAAGAACCAGCAGCGCGTGCTGGCCAGTCCTACCTCCACCAGCCAGATAAGCACAGAGTTCAGCGACTGGCACCTCTGGAAGTGCGGTCAGTGCTTCAAGACCTTCACCCAGCGCATCCTGCTCCAGATGCACGTGTGCACGCAAAACCCGGACAGGTGAGGAGCTCTATGAGGACCGTCATGATCACTGGCATGCTAACCAGCAGGCGACGCAGGGTTGCCAACTCTTACACATCTGGTGTGACACTCACGCTTTCAGACTCTCATCCTCACACAAGAAAATCTTACAGCAGATCTATATTATTCTGTTATAAACTTAAAATTAGCTACATCAAAAGCATTCCGGTAGTTTGCAAACCCTACAGGCTATTTACAAGGTAATAAAGATGTTACATCATGTAAAATTTAAAATATCACTCCAGCCAGCTGACCAAATTTGGCAACCCTGGGCTAAGCAGCATGCTAACTAGCTTACTGAAAAACATGCTATCCAGCATGCTGGCAAATCTGTTGACTGACATGCTGACAGGTACTGTGCTTTGTCTTTCATTGTTTGATAGAATTTTTGACAATCAGGGCTACAGACCTACTGATAGTCATGTTGACAGACCTTTTTGATTGCCATGGTGACATCCGAGCTGATGGCTATGATGACAGATGTATTTGAAAGACGTGTTTATAGACAGGTTAACAGACCGTTATGATCATGTTGAAAGTTATGTTGACAGACACTGACAACCATGTTGACACATTTGTTCATACTCAAGTTTACAGACATTGACAGCCATGTTGGCATGTATTGACAGACATGTTCATACTCAAGTTTACAGACATCGACAGGCTTGTTTTCAGTCATGTTAACAGACAATGTGACAAATGTGCTAACAGACATTGGTAATCATGTTGACAGTCATGGTAACAAACATGTTCACAGTCAAGCTGACAGACTGACAGCCTTGTTGACAGATATGTTGACAGTCATGTTAACAGAAATAGTGACAGATATGCTAACAGACATTGACAACGATGTTGACAGTTGTGGTGACAAATATGTTGACAGACATTGACAGTCGAGGTGACAAATGTGTTGACAGACATTGACAGCCGTGTTGACAGTCGAGGTGACAAATGTGTTGACAGACATTGACAGCCGTGTTGACAGTCGAGGTGACAAATGTG